CTGTGATGTACGCCATGCACATATGCTGCGGCGTGTTGCTAGAACACATCTCAGTGCTTTTTTTTTTTCTTTTTAAAATAACAATAATTTAACTGTGTGGCAGCGCATGGCTAAGAGTTATGATGCATTGCCGTGTATTGTTATAAACTGTGTTGCAATTAATTGTATGCCTGTATCATTTTATCACATCACACACCAACACAGCGCACAAATGATTGACATAAGTTGCTTATTTACAGTTACAAGAATTTGAAATTTACAAATATGTGTTATTTATTAACTCAGTACAGTTTTATCTTTTAGATTTAGTCGGAAAATTATTTTTGTGTGCACTGATACTGATTTTAGTGTGCTTTTATCAATTTAGTTATTTATTTTTATTGGTTTAATATTGATTTGACAAACATTTGCGCAATCATCACAGGACCTACAAAATTAGTGGTACCATCTTTTTATTCTATCGGGCCTGTGTTTCCAGAAAATATATGGTTTGGGGGACTTTTACAAACTCTAAAAGCTACAGTTGAAAATAAAAAAAGGTCAAACATTGCAAAAATAGTGTGGCCAGCTAAGGTTAAAAGCGTTCCGCAAGGGTTGGCAGCAATAGGGTTAAAGCCAGTAAACATTTTAACTATTGCACTGTCATCAACAATAAAATGCAGAGGGATTAATTAAAATGGTCCATTACATACTCATTAAATCCATTACATACTCAAACAATGGGATTGCAATCTTTTTACATTTTGGCTGTTTCTCTTAAAGAATATAAATACAATTTGACTCCTAAAATGTATAAAACATATATTCTCTGGTTTCAACCAATATAAATATATTTAACTATATAATGTAGCAAAATACTATTGCTTTATAGGTCTAAACTCTTGTTTAGACCTATAAAGTTGATACATAAGATTCAAATTATAAAGTTGATACATAAGATTCTAATCATGTAACAACTTGCTGATATATTCTCTTTAGTGTGTGGCCCACTTATGGTGAGTTCCAGAAACTACAGTCCAAACAAACATAACTCTAACCACAAAGGGAAAGGGAAACTTACCACCATGATGAACTAAAACTAAAATGTATATAAATATATAATGTATAGTTTTATAAAATGTATATGATGTCTATGAAATATAGCTCATAGATGGAAAATATCTCATACCTTACAAATTTTCATGTAATCATTCAATTCAGTTTAATGATCAGCCATGGTAAAGTAACAATGCAACTGGAAAAAGAATAAAGAGATCAACAAAATGCCAGTAGGTTTTATGAAAGGTTTCAGTGTTCTAATTTAATCCGAATGGTTAGAGAGCACTTAATGTATAGATTCAAAGTGTTTTATGTTAGTGTCTAGATCCAAATAAACTTAATGAAGATTTTTTTCATTGTTTGATTTCACGATAAAAGCAATTGTGGGTAGGCTGTTTATAGTCTTTATTAGGGTGTACAACTCCTGCTCTTAATGGCAATTTGCAGACTTCCAACAAGGATTTTTAAGTAGCCAGGATAACTTTGCCCCTATTGGCCTATGTACAAGATCTTGGGAATTGAGACTTTGAGAGTTTTTGAATTTTTTCTAGAATAAATTACCTTGAATGGGCTACATACAGATTCATTGTAAAATAAAACATTAATGGTTTTAGGTCAGCTTATTTAGGTTTACAAGTCTCTTAAAAGATGTGTAACTTTTACAAATAAATATTTATGGCAGGGTGCATCCATGATACTGGTTTATAAAAGCATTCTATTTGCTACTTTTGTAATTGTCTTTGCCTAATTACAATTATCTACGGGCCGGTATAAATGAAGCAGGCAGGAGGGCAGGTGAGTCAGCTCTTATTCAGCTACTTTCAGTACATTTTGAGCTTTACAGTTACTTTTCTTTTTCCCGCAAATTATTTAAGGTTACCCTTGTAACAATAACCCACAAATCTACCTTTGTTACATAATAACTATGAAATAGTCATAGGCAATATTTTATAAATACCTGAACAAAAAATATGTATTTTTTGGTCTTAGGCATATTAAACAAAGAAAATATATACCAAACCATCACACATTCCCTTTAGGAAGGCTCTTGCAGACAACTTTTGTCTTCTCATAGGCAGTTCATTGTGATTGAAATCATTGCAAACACTGACCAGTTCACTTTACCGGCAGTGGGACCAGGCTGCAGAAAGTTGGTTATGGTACTGCAGAAAAGGGGACCATTTTGTGTGGCTGAATAAGTACAGTTTAACATTGTGTCTATAGTGCTTTTTTTATATATTTTCGATATGTTGTATATACAGGACTGTAAAATAAGATCATATATATTTTTTATTAGGTAAATATTAATATTTCATATAAATATTTTATACTAACAACCAGCAGTTACAGTTCTAAGGTCTTCTGACTCCAGGTTTTCTGTAATGTCTTCAGAATTGCTTTTTATTGTTCTACAGCTAAACATTACATAATCTAATTCTCCCAAGGAAGGCTAATATTTATTGCATTGCTTGCACTGACATCTTCTCCAATGCTTCTTTCATGCCTATTGTCTTTCTTATTTATCCAGTGAGGGTGCAACTCTCATATGATGGAGTTAAATTAAGACTACATGTTATGTTAACAAATGAGCAGTATTGCAATGCAAAGTTTTATGCATGAATGTGCGCTGAGATTAAGCAGCCCATTTGTTTTTAATGTACTGGCTGTGCACCCTTATCACACTAAAAATGCACTTAACCATTTTTTGTCTATCATCAATTGAGGGACAAAGTTTAATAATAAGCAACCTAAGGTTATAATGACACGGACCGGAGAAATGGAATCCAGGCACATAGAAAACTGAAGACCAGCCTTCATGAGGCCATAATACCTTGCAGCTGCTCATTAAAGAGGACCTTTACCCATATACTTAAAATAACAACAACGGCACCTTTAGAAATGTTTAGTAATGACAATCTACAAACACATACTAATAGATAATTGAAGGCTTTTTATTCTTTGCATATCTTATTTCTCTCTTCTTCCCCAGTCTTCTGACAATGGCCATTTTTTTTACTAAGTACAGATTAATCCATCTCCCTTAACTTCCCAGAACTCTGGCACATGTGACTTGGACATGTGACTATGCACATCATCTTAGTGGTGGAAAATTCCTTTCCCTGAGATCTCGTGAGATTACAGATAAGCAGGGCTTGAAAAATCCACTCGTCCTCTCGTCTGTGACGAGAGGATGCCGGATCCGAACAAGTAGCTTTACATTCTAGAGACGCTCGATCGCTTGTATTAGCTGCAGTTTTCCTTCCCCGCAGCCGCCGCTGTCACTGCCATTGCCAGTCCCAAGATAAGCTGTGCCCTGTGCGGCCGGGACCTGTGACGGCTGCTCTGTGACAGGAGATCAGTACACGAACTCCCCCCCTGATTTCCTCTCAGTTCCCCGAATGCAGGAAGTGGTGTATATTACATCACTTCCGCCCACAGCTGTCATTCCCAGCTACAGGTGACGGTGAGGAGCTGCTGAAGCAGATCTCTGCTTCATCAGCTTCTCTGGGGGTCCCTAGGTGACATTAGGGGTCTTGGAGACGCCTGATGTCTCCATAAAGAGCCCTGCCATGTAAATAGGCTATCACATAGGGAACTTCTTAGCATAAAAAATATTTCACATAGGGAGCTTATTAGTGTTAGTAAGTAAAGGAGTAATAAAAAAAAATAAAGAAGCATAAAAAATTAAAGAAGCATCATTTTTTTTAACCACTTGCCATCTGCCCGTTGCTAAAAAATGGACGGCAGACTCACATGGGCGGGTTGCCTTAATTAGACTGCATTTTTTTTCTGCTCGCACGCACGGACAGAAAAAAAAACGTCCGTTCTTTACAGCCGTTACCGGCTATATAGCCACCGATCGGTTGTATTTTGTACGCCCCCTCGAGTGCCGCCGCCTGGAGTGCCGCCCCCTCCTGACCCCTCACATTCAATCCCGTGATCAGCTAGCCCATCTGCGGCTCAGGAGGGCGTCAGGAGGTAAGATGGGAGCGAGATCAGCATCTTCCTCCTAGCTGAACTCCCTCCGTAGTGTCAATGCGGAACTGATGTGTAATACATCACTTCCGCCTTCACCTATCAGTCATCTGGCTGCTATAGCCAGGGAAAAGAAGCTGATGAAGCAGATCTCTGCTTCATCAGCTTCTTTTTGGGTCCCCAGGTGACATTAGGGGTCTTAGAGACCCCTAATGTCTCCATAAAGAGGACCTGTCAGTGTGCCTGTGCTATCACATAGGGGGATAGTTATCCCCCTATGTTATAGCAATAACAATAAGTGTAAAAAAAAAAAAAGTTAAAAAAATAAAAGTCACATATAAAAAAAGATTTAAAAAAAAAACCAAAATGTTTAAGTCCCCACCCCCACGTTTACGCACATATA